CTTTAGGTAATGCTGGTAACATAATTTTATCAAAAAAAAAAAAAAAAAAAAAAAAAAAAAATCACAAAAAACAGTGTCTTTATTAGATGACTGGGGAAAACATAACCTGCAATTGGTTTTGTTATGGAAACTTGACATGCAAAAGTAATGTGTATGCACATAAAAAGTAAAATCTTTAGGTAATGCTGGTAACATAATTTTATCAAAGTTACAGTTATATCCTAATTTACACTAGCTGAAAATTTGTCTCCAAATTTTCCTCTTGATGTTGTTTTCTCTGGTTGTTAATATAAGATTTTGAATTGTGTGGTGCCTATATGAAGTATGAAAAAATGGTTACCATATTGCAATGTTACAAATACTGCTTGATTCTCTAAAGCTAATTGAATTAAAATTTTACAGTATGCAAGATTTTGGCAAAACCTCAGTATTGCAAAAGTATTCTACGGATATAATGGGGCTAGTATATATTTTTTAGTTGGAAAATAAATCAAAAGCAATAGGGTGAATTTCTGAATCTATTGAACTCCTGTCAAAATTATCATTAACTTTAATTGTGCGGCACGTGGCTTGTAAAAATTAATTCTACTGCTTTAGTACTTATTCAAGGTTATCTTCCAGAATATCTTCTAGTAATTTTTAAATGTATTTGCTTTTCAGGAGGATAGTAGTCTTAAGAGGAAGTCAACTATTTTCAGGCTACAAATATGTACATGTATGTGCATGTGCATGTATATACACATATACATATATACATATATAAAGACATKAATATCAATATTAATCTGTCATTAATGTGGTTCAGTTATTTTTGACAGATTTATTGATTGTGTCTGCTGCAAGCAGTGTTTTGTACTGGAAATTGACWCCCACAATCAAAAAGGAGAGATGGATGCTCTGAAAATTGCAATTTTTCAACAATTCTTGTAATTAATCCTTTTGTATTGACAATTTCCAGGAGCTATGCTGCCAGGAGTGGTCTTTATCTCTGGACAATTAAGCAACCAGCTTTAAAAAAAAAAAAAAAAAAAAAAAAAAGCAGTTTTCAGAATATGCCATATGACATTTTAAAATAAATGGGTCTGAATTGTTTTCTTACTTCCATTTTTTTTGCTTTTTTTTTTTGGATTAATATACTCAAATGTACTTTTTTTAGATATCACTTGCCTGCTTTGCCTGTTAGCATCCATAATAAGGGACTGTAGCCATGCATGAACCCGTATGTGAATCTCTTTCTAGCATTCTTGATGACATTACACAAAAATGATATTTAGAAGTTGGATCACCTTTATGGTAATAGTGTGGCCTGAGCCTTGCTTCCCTAAGAGAATTAACTTGGAACTTGTCAGAGTTTGGTTCCTTTAAGATTTTTTTTGTATTTATTGATATATCTTTAACACTAAATGAGCTTTTCATCATTGCAATGCATTCTGCTTCCTCTCTCCCCTGGACCATGATATCTCTTTTGTGACATCTCAATGTAAATTATTTGGGGGTTATTTTTATTTTATTGTCTCATTTGAAAGGGTATAGCTCATTCATTTTTAGCTGCCCTGTGTATGAGCAAACACAGTGGTTATGTAAGTAGCCTTAGAAAATAAAGAACAGGGTATGTCAGGGAAGTCTGTCCATAAATATGCTGCATAATCAAACTTTGCTAAACGAAGCACTTGCAGTTCTGCAAGTGAAATAAAGCAGTTGCTGCTGAATGCATACTGTAAAGACAAGTCCTATAATGTTCTTCATTTGTTGAGGTTTCTTTGCGTTAATTAAAAATGGTAGAAAACAAAGTATTTTAATGTGACCTTCATTTGGCATTTGTTTTAACTTTTCTTCTCCTATTTTATTTAATTCTTCCACTTCTGTTGTTCAATTAGTGTTTGACCCCTTTAGCAGAGATGTAAATTAAATGACATTTCAATGCCATCCCATATTTAAAATACTGTGTTAGTTGTGGATCATAAAGGATGATCTTCRTTCTTTAGCTAATTTATTCATTTAACAATTTCCCTCCAGAAGTTCCAGCAGAAGGCTCTGAAACAAACTAAGCAGAAGAAATCCAAGTCGGCTGAATTTCTGATGGGTGAGCCTTGCTTGATGAGTTATTGCTCATAATTTGTGTAAGGATTAATTAACTAATTACAGACAAATGGCTGTGGGCGAAATTTTGCTCTTGCTTGTCAGGGTGCAATTTGTAATTATTTTAATCATTTATTCTTTTTTTTTTTTTTTTTTTTATAGAGTTAATTTTAACCTAATTCTGTTTTGGCGACATTTGAGGACGATACACTTGAGTCTTCCAGCAAACGAATTACTAGAAGGAATTTTCTGCTTGTCATTGAAATACACTTTGCTGTAATGTGCTCTTCTGACCTCCTTGTTTTCTATAGTGAAAGAAGAGCGAGAAGCAGCAGAAGGCATTGAAAATCCAGCTTTTAACATCAGCAGCACAGATCTTTCAGCATATCAGGCTTCAGAGGAGGAAGTTATTAGACGTGACAAGCTAGATAGCACCCTTGCAGCTCACCAACAAAAACCCAGGCTGCGAGCCCATGCCGAACCAAGAGGTGAGATGTCCGACTCGATTAGCCTCAAACRGAGTGACGGCAGCGGCGGCGCTCGGGACGCAACCTGTGTGCGCTGGGCCCTGTGCCGCGGCACCYCCGCACAGGCTCCCCTGCAAACCTGCATCGGAGAACGACACAGCAGGGATGTAAACGGGCCCTTCCCTGAGCGCTCAGAGCGCCGTGCGCTGCCTTTGTGCTCGCGTGGCCTCTCCATGCGGGGACAGAAGCTGCATGGTGCTCCCTGACGGCAAAGGAGAGTACGGGTGCTCATGGCGGCCTTCCCCTTCATTTGTGTGAGGCCGAATTTGGGAGGCCGCTGTGGGGCCGCTGGTGCTTCTCCATCATAGACTTCTGAGCGCAACGTGGGTGTTAAACGGTGCTCAGACACATGATTGATGGTTGGTCCCAGACCTCCCATACGCCCTTAATCAAGTGTTTTCTTGCCTTGGCTTTGAGTTTCGTTATTTTTGTGGCTGGTTGTGCTCAGATACCGACAGCCCTGGTCGCTGAATGGCCAAGCATTTGAGCGCAGAGCCGATGCTGCACCCAAGAGTGGCCCCACCTCAGGAAGCAGTGTTGGGGTTGATTTGAACAAACTGTGAGGGTCTCCTCTGGTGTCAGTTCCCCTGTTGTAGAGAATGGTGTGCGCTTGCTTTTTGTTTTTTTTTTTAGCCTATTGTGCAATTGTTATGCTTTGAGTTGTTGTTAATGGTGAATGTGAGGAGGAATGCTTAGGGTTTACTTAGGAATCAGGTGAGAAAAGGCGAGGAGAAAGATTTTGAGGCATCTCATGAGATATACAGAGAAAATCATGGGCCAAGATTTAAATAAAGGCAAAAATGCTTGAAGCTGGGCACAAAATCTTCAAAAATACTGGTTTACTGGACTTAACTTTAGATAGCCTGTGTACTTCCATGAATGTGTAGATGCTGACCAGGGTCTGAGACCTCCCAAGGCACTGAAGTCCTAATCCTCAGGGAGTCTCCAATAAACTCACAAGCAGAGATGCCGCTCGCTAAATATCCTCACATGCTCATCCAGGTGCTTAAATGTAGAAATACAGACTGGCAAGCAGAATTTTAGGCATTCACTTTTCCAGCTGTGGACTGTGCTGTGTTAAGATTTTATCCTTGAGGAGTCAGAGTCTCTGACTCTTAATGGACCCTTGCAAAATTAAGTTCATCATTCCGTTTAGCCTTCATGTGACTCTCTGCAGTGCTGCATGGAGCAGGAATTCTGCCTTTCCTATGTAGCCTGTCAGAACAGTGATTAAGCAGACAAAGAGATTGATTGTTTTTTAATGAAATAGTCTGTCTGGCAAAAAATGAAGTTAGGTTTGCTGGAGACTATCCATGCTTTCAGTCGTCTCTTCAGAAATTCATGAATCGTTCTCTCAGGAAAACAATACTTTTTTTGAAAGACCGAAATGTGTTTTTAAACATTTTGATTTTTCATCCTAAGCAGCAGTTTGTTTTAAAAAATAGCTGATTATTATCTTCGTGAAAGGAATAAAGATGGTTTATTTTCACAGATTCACAGAATATTTAAGGTTGGAAGGGACCTCTA